GTCGTCTAACTACGCGTTGAGGTCTCCAAGCGTTAGATTGATAGACTTGCTGAATTTTCAACGTTATATGTTTCTATCATAGCTCTAAATTATGGAAATATTCAAAGAACAGCTGTGAATTTTGGGATTATTCGGTTCAAGCTACAGAGCATCCAAAACTAATGTACAGGGTGAACAACTAAAAGCGACTGTGGGCCATATGTCAGCAACGAATAATGATACAAGTTTGAGGTAGAATAAATCTAATGTTATGCATATTATTACACGATGTAATAAAGAAACTAAATCCCAACAGACCAAGGGAAACATCAACATGATAGCTTTTCGCCAACGGAAGATATTAACTATCAAAGTTGGAAGAATGATAGATATGACAGCTGTTCTTAGTTGTTCACCGGGTATATTCCTACCTCATCAAGAAAATGAATATGAGTACATATACTTAACATGAATCTCAGATTTGGGACTCGTTATTCATGCATGTAGTTTTTTCACCGTTTTTTTCGTTCCCATACAGCTGACAGCATGAATACAAGGAAATGACTCAATTACGATAACTATAGCCTTGAGATGATCATTTCACATTGATGTATATATGAATCATTTTATAGGCTGAATAATATCAATCGAAGCCGACACATAATAACATATTATATAGATATGTATATATACCTCTGAAACTAATAATCTCGTTTTCCAAGTATGATATACTGATTCAACTTTCGCCGTTTGATTACGACAAACAGTCATTCTCCTGATCACCATTATACACTGCGCTTTATGTATTATGATAAGGATTTGGATATTAATTCAACATTTTACAAAAAGAAACAGAGTTACATTATCGTGAAATAATCAGAGGATGAAATATTGGTTTGCGCCTTCGCCAATAGTGAGAATATGGAACGCCAAATGCTGTTACCGTCGTTTCTGTCCGATTTTCAAAAAAATTAAATAAAATTCAATGCTTCGAAAAATACTAGAAAGTGGCACGACTCTCAATTGATAATTTTGTTTCATTGAATTCCACAACTTTTTTTACGATTTCAATGGTGTTGATATTTGAGTTACTTGTTACTGATTATATGGCGGAAGCATAAATTTGCAAGAAATTTTCAGGAGTCCTGTTTCTCTTCTGGGCCACTTCATTGAAAAATAATGATATACTTCATGTAGCCAGAATTGTGAAGAAAACCAAAGATAATTCAGTTTTACTCCGCAAAGGTGTCTTATTGAACAACCTTTATGTCGGCATTACTCAGTTACGTAACAATTTCCTCACCTACATATTACTAGCATCTCTCCCAGGTGAGCTGCACTTTTCAAAAGCTTAATGCATGCACCAGAGTCGAAGAAACAGCTCCTAGTCGCCAATAACGATAACAATAATAGAGTGTTGTGTTATAAATGGGCAACCTTAACCAGTGGCGTGAAAACAAACTTTATTCGAAGGAACCTCCGACATCCACTGGTTCACACATATTATACATGGTTGCTCTGGAAACATTGTAACGAGCTCAGTTTTCATGCAAATGAATTATCGTAATTTTGTATCGACTCTCTCGAACAAATTGGGAATAAAAGTTGAAAATGATGAAATCTCAGCACGAATTATCTAGGGTTCTTGCAAAATAATGAATTTATTGCGGAATTTTTGAACGATTCAATCCGAATACCAAAAAATCCTCATACTTCATAAGAGCAAAGCTTCACTTAGCAATTGTAGCAAGTCGTGTGTGCTACATACAAGGTGATTTCACCTAAGAAGTATCAAGTTGAGTTGATTGGAACAGAATAAGTTGAAATGAATACCTATGCGAATTTGAAAAAATATCTTTCAATTTCCAGAAATACGTCAACCATGGATCAATCTACAGCAGGCAGGAAATTTTCTTACAAATTCTCGAACATATTATTCTGCGCAATCATTACATACTGCATCACAACTAGAAGGGAATGTGTAATAGAGAACAAAAAAATAAGAAATGAAAGTGAATTTTTCGTGAAAAAAATATGTTGGTATATCTATCGAATCATGTTGTCTGATGAAGATTTCGTGAATTATTGATCAGAGATCAACAACTGAACTCAAGCGCCTGATTTCGTCGAGGTCAGACGCACCGGAATTATTGATGACCTTCGCAATGTTGCCGGACGTTCATTACTTGTTGAAATACACTTCTTCTTGTGATTAATTGTGTCATTATCATTTCACACAATATCTCATTCCATATATCACTACAATATCGGAAACACTCAGTATATCAGGTTGTTTTCTCTCCAGTCTGATGATGCGCCATTGACACCTATTTAGATAAATTCATTCAGTGTCTATGTTAAACATTCTAGGTGTGGGTGGAAATACACTGCTGAAATAAGGTGAGCCAGAGGAGTAAGAGGATCCAAAGTTGTCAGATTGAAGAAGGCAGATCCGGATCGGCTCCTTTGGATCCATACTTGAAATAAAATAAAAGAGAAAAATGGTGAATTAATATTAGATAAATAAAAAAAAAGTGAATTATTCGTACACCCTAGAGATACCCTACTATCAAAGTACATACTAATTGAAAATGGCTGAGCGATTGAACCAAATGTGGCATGCCAATGCGCAGATGCGAACAGTGTTGTCAACGCATTTTTTATTCCACTGAAGTTACGAGAATTTCAGGTATTGAATTCGGAACTCATATTTCAAAGATATTATCCCTAATGTTGATTGTTGTGCTATTTGTTGAAAGGTGTAGGACGCTGATTTCAAAAACAAATTGACATGTTTTATCTGAGAGTTGTGATAATCGGGCCAAAATCTAACCAGGTAGATTGAAAAACATTGACTTTTTCGAAGAAATGCAAAACACAATTTCTATTCAAAGATATCAAGTAGATTCTAGAAATCATCATTACCTACAAAAACCTTATTATATATATATGTTTCAATAACATCACGTGATTCTCAACCATATTGTCGGAGACACTAGGATACTCTGCTAGGAATACTGATGATTTCTTCTTGTTGAGATCAAAACCCAAAACCTCGTATTTATGATTAAAATTTATCTTAGGAGCACTGAATTTCGAGGTGAATTTGATAACTTCTCTAGCAACCAATACCAAATGCGTATGATTGTCAATAGGATCTCGTTGGTTCGGTAATAATAGTAGATTGTTTTATTAGGATCAAAAGTGACACTTTGTTTGACAAGCGAATTTTGCATTTGCGAGGCGGAGCGTTTAGCGAAGCCGAGCGAAAGCAAAATTTGCGAGTCGAACAAAATCACTTTTGATCCGAATGAAAAATGCTATTTTTTCTGCAACCGAAACAAATAACACAAATAAATATGTGAAGTTACCACCAATACCGTGCCATATGTATGCAATGCAACAAATATTGAAAAATAATCCGTGTGGTGAGAACATTCTACCTGCATCAACAGCAGGTTCATCCAATTTTCAAGGATGTTCGAATTGTAGTTTCAATATAAATACAATCACAGAGTGACATATTTGTGTATGGACCAGGTGCTATAATGGCAAATACCGCGTCAGTGCCAGCTATTGAAACAAGACTTGGAAAATGTTAGGTTAGTGAGCACATCAACAATAAGAATAGCAATTATTTTTTCCTCTCCGTAATACAATGTTTGTCGCTTGATAATCAAATGAAGGTTAACAATATCGTTGTTTGAGACAAAAAACTATTGCTTGCCGTGATTATCCAAAAACAAGTTATCCATCCCGAGAATAACGAATGAAATACAGATCAAGCAAGTATTTGAATCTTGAAGGCTTCCCTGATCAAAACAAAAATACTTAACTGAGATGTTAATAATTCCAATACTAAACTATAATAAGGTGTATTTATATCTCCAGCATGGGTATGAAATGCCAAATCTGCTGAAATCGGTAGCAAATCACCTATGCCTCTCAACCCAAATAACCAACCGTCACAATGTTGTTTATACTTGATGACGCCCAGTAGATCCTTTTTAGTTCAACTTTAGCTCCTAGGAACTAAAATTCAACTTTAGCGCCTAGGAACTAAATATGTTGCCTAGCAACATACCTATTTTTGTGTCAGTAATAGAAACGTCAATTTAAGAGCTAATTTTGGTATCAAAATGGACGACTTTTGTGTCGGTTGCAAAAAAAAATTAGTTTCACTTAACCTATTCTTCAATTTAATTTGATTCAGTAACGAGTTGTACTATAAATTGAAGGGCTTGTAGACAAAGCTGAATTATGAAGAATTTGGATTTTTTTTTCTGAGAATGACATTTCACCCAAATATAAGGTGCCTAAGTGTCATTATTTTTATCTCTTGATTTAGTGGACCAATGATTCTGATTTCTCATTTGTTGATGTTGTTCTTGAAATATAATTTATTTCACTGTGTACATTTTCGCTTTAGGGCCCGCTCCGAAATTTTCATAGTATTTTGTTTCGCAGGGGGAACACTCCTCCTGACTAAAGGTGAGTTTCCAATCCAGCTTTTTTGCTTTCCGCTCCACGTGTCACTCAGTCTGATTGATGACGCGTAATCGAAAATTACTGCGCTATTTTTTATTATTATCTTCAGATCCCAATGAAATTATCTATCATTGTCGCTCTGGTTGAAATTTGTATTGAAAAATCATGAGAATACTGAAAATAGAGGATGATTCTTTCAAGATATTCAGAGCTGCGTCAGATGAGTACTTAAAAAACAAAATAGCAAAGTGAAAATGAGATAATAAGGTAGGTACTTCAGTGATACTGCAATGATTTAACTAACCATGAGGTTAATTACACTCTCAGAAATGAGGGTTTATGGAGTTGCATTCAGAATTTCTCCATTTTCATGAAACATCGTGTGTTGAAACAATTGATAATAAATATTGAGGTTTCTGGAACATAACCTCCACTCAACACAAAGCAGCAACGCCAAAAAGTTGAAATATTTCAACTTCATCGAGTAAAATTTTTTCGATCTCACCTTAATATTCTTTTGGTGTCGTTCTTACCTTTTGGTCTCCAAATCTCATTTGTCTCCTAGCATTCCTAGATACATTCATCCTACATAAAAACAGCCGAATTTCATCACTCGGGTTATTGTTCGATCCCGCATTCACTGGCCTTCCCAATTCGCACTGGATCGCCTGGTGATCTTGCTTATCTATTATGTCATATACACTATCTCCATGGATCAATAGGTCCTCCTAGAACAGAAGATTCTCCTCAAGAAATGAACATATCTTCTTTAGTTTATTATATAGTGACAAGTTCGAAAGGGCTTTGTGTGAAGTCATTGTGATCTTAGAGATAAAAACAGGTTATGAAGTAATTAATTCTGTCTTTAGACATTTTGGTGGAGGCAGTTATTTTATGTTCCACCTATCTATATTGATTTTTCTGGCGAACGGTTATAGTTTTCGAACTTTTGGTGGATGCACTTATTTTGAGTTTTACTATCAGATAATTTGAATTTTCTGGCGAATGCTTATACGTTCGGGGATATAAAACTATGAAGGGGGATCTATATAAGAATGCAAAAAATCTGTCAGTGGGTTGTCTCCACCAAATTCGAAAAAATTAAGAATGAGGAAGACCACTGATTTTTTGAAACGACATTTTTGTTAGCGAACAACTACAGGACATACTTCATCTCTCAGTGGTCTTCTTCATTGAAATATCTTTAACACTATCACACTACAACAGATTGCATCCCCTTTTCCTTCATCAGACTTTTGATAGTGACAGCTAAGCTGAGGTAAGCTAAGCTGAGTCAAGCTTAGGCTAAGCTAAGCTAGAAGTGATGGAAAACAATAAATATAAATTTTATTTCTGCAGATCAAAACACAATACTGAAACACAGCACTAAGTGCACTGTTTTAAGCGGAGAAAACAATATCCTAAACTTAAACAGATGTTTATTCAATATCGTCATTGGGATCTGGATGGATGTATGTGGGTTCTCCTTAGCCCCTTTTGACGACGTGGAAAGTCTTCCTGTTCGAGGCATTATTTTTGATCTATCTGAGGTGATATTGGTGGAAACGATTTTCATCAATGTTATGCAAAACAATATTTTGCAGTTGCCCCAACCTGATTATTCGGGTATACTTATCGAGGTATTTTCATCTACTATAGTAACAAAAACCTATCCAACAACAGCGACAGGACCATTCACAGCACCTTCGCGGTTGTCCCCTGGTGAACATGATCTGATGCCAATGTTTTTTTTTTCACCGCTTTCAGAATTGTTCTGGAATTTGAAACCTATCAGGAAATCTCATACAAATGTTTATGTACCGAACAATGAGTCAGTATCAATCACAGTAGTCCTGACTATCTTCACCTCGCTATCATTGCACACTGGAATGACAGATGATTGGCAGATTACAGTTGCAGGTGGCTAGGTAGCACTCTCGTGGAAACTCGAAGTGGTATTTCATCGTAGGCTTCAGTTTTAATAAATGTCATAAATTCGCTAGATTTGCTTGCAAGAACTTTCTCAGGTGGCAGACTCATACGTCATTTTTTCCGCATCTTCACATGGATCACCCTATACTCCTTATTGAATATTATTGCCGTATGGCACTATTAGGGAAGAATTATAAACATCAGCAAGCTCTCATACATAAAAGTTCTGATTTCATATTATCAAAATTCAATACTTGAGAATCGGAATCAAGGAGACGTAAATCTATGATGGCAGTCAGGTCATGTATGAATATGCAAACATTTTCTCATTCAGTTTGCCTCATATTACTCCATTATAAAAGGAGTTGCTGAAAATATGGTACCTACAGGATATTTCAAAGAAGATGTCACAAACTGCCAGGCCAATATAAGGAAGAATGATCCATAAACACATGTCCAAAAATGTTATTTCTGATGAACCGGACATTGATTTATGTGAAACCTCTGGTGAAACATTTTACTCTTATTCATATTTGGTCCAATATAAAGAATATCCAAATATGAATCAGACTAGATCAGAACTCAAATGCTAGATTTTCTGATAGGGGAACTAGAAACTTAATGTTATTTGTTGTATTTAAAAATACAGGGTGATGTAAAACAAATGAAAGGTATATATATTTATATGACCGTGAGCTATTGAAAATTTGAAAAATTATAACAACATACTGAAAGAATTGATGAACTAAAACTTACCAAACTTGGGATTAATATATTCAATTGCACCTTGTATAGACATATAGGGTGTCGCTAAGTTCGATCGACAACGTTTCACTCATGATTTTTTAAACGACTAAGGTAGGGACATAAGGTTATTGAGTGTGTGTTCTCGATATACAGGGTATCGAAGTGAAAAATAACAAATGAATAACGCGGAACTATCTCTACAACTAATCACTTGAGAGCTATCACCTGTGTAGAAATATAGGAATAGGATCAAGAGATGAATACTCTGACGGCCTCTTTCAATGACACATTCGTCGGTAGACCAACGCTTCAACAAAACCGAGAAATGCAACGTCATTGACGTTGATGACATCAGATATGAATCCAGAACAACGCTTGTTAGAGTCCGGTTACAGGATTTCCTACTGGCACAATATTTCATATACAGAGTGACACATAAGATAGAGCCGATGGAAACATTTCAGATGAGTCATTATATCACTAATTGAAACAATAAATTGAGTAACGTCGGCTCTCAGAAAGAGTGGTGAGTATCATTATTGCTTGGTATAGAATGAAAAACGCATTCCATTGTCAAAATGGGATATATATCATGTACTAGAATTTATATAATTCCCTGAAATTTGTCAGAGTCAGGCAGAACTAATGACACGACTTGAAATGAAGTATATGTACAGGGTGTCCCACCTAAATGTGTCACCCCCTTTATCCTCGTATAATTCTCAACATATTTTGACCATTCAAAAACGTTCCAGGAATAATTTTCCACGAGTTTTTCGAATCTGTGCTCACTTTTTCTTCGTAACAAAATACAGGGTGGCTAAATATATATATTTTTGAATCCAGATTGACGGGCTCCATCGAATTATGGAAGAAAATATGGATCATTTCATTTGAGCCACCCTGTAGTTTATTGATATGGAGAGAGAGTGAACATAGATTCAAAAAATTCCTAAAAAATATTCCAGAAAAGTTTCTGAATGACCCAAATATGTTGAGAAATACAAGGATAAAGGGAGGTGACACATTTAAGTGGGAAACCCTGTACATAAGAAACCTGAAATAGTAGGTGCATAATAGGAGCATCACATGAAAAAAACTCTTTACGGGAAGTTAATGTGGGTTGGAATTCGTTGAGAGTTGTACAAGTGGAAGTGAGTATATGCAATTATCATTGCACATAATACTGTGAAGGTTGAACAACTCAGTGGAAGATGAAGGTACTAGCACTTCCAATTATTGATCGAGGAACACCTTTCATTTGTTTCACGTGCTTCAATATATTCTCTCAATCCAGGATAGAATTGAAGGTTCTTACAAAGATGTTGACATTGAATAAATGGTTTGAAGATTGGAAAGATCAAGACATACGGTTGATAGTGGGGTATCGATAGTATCGAACTCAAAATCATTCTGGATCAACTCCTCTTCATCGTCCAATTTATTGCCCTTATCTCATTCCTCACATTAAGACATCGACTCCTTATAAAAATGATCATTAAATTCCGAACTAATCCCGAAATAATGTTGTAGAGTTTGTCGAGTTAAGCTCACTCTCAAGCTCGTAAAGCTCAAAAAGTTCGCTCACCTGTAGAACACTCACCATGGAATGGCCCAGGTACTCTGCAGCATTATCCGATATGTACAATAGCTTCCCGTTCTGCGTCATCATCATCAGGAAACCACTTAAAGCCTGGAAAAAAGTGAGAAATATAATAATTTTGGAATGTTAAACGATTTCCAGACAATAAGTATGAATTCGTGTGGACGAATGCGATAAAAACAAAGTTAATCACCAATTCTCAAGTGGATCAAAATCTACCTAACGGATAAAATCAATAATATTATCCAACTTAACAATACAATTATTGATACGTCATCCTAGTCTACTATATTCTTATCATTTCATGAATTGACATTGTTGACACTGTACATTGTGTGTACGATGCGTATAGGTATAGCCACAGGCAAACAAGAAGTGAATTTTTTATGAAGCCAATAAAACATATGTTATATTTACGAATGATTGTAGGTCAGATATATCTTGACATTTGAACTAACTTCACCTTGGTTATTTTTTGCTTCTCAGATTTCTGAACGTAGCAGAACTCAACATGATTTGAATTCTGACTAGTTCAATAATGTCGATATCATTGAGTGATAATTCCATCATGACCCATATCCCATATCATAGAGCACTGTGAACATTTGTTTATGATGTTTCAGTTTCCTAAAAACTTTGCTTGTACATCAAGCTGAATGGGGTGGTTGTGACGACACATTTATGTTTACATTTTTGATCGAATCAATGAATTCAAATCAGCTGATGATCATGAGTTTCGCCCGTAATATAAACCGAGTTCATTCCAAACCAATTAGCTACGGAAACAATCTGAAATGATATACTTTCCAGATAATATTCAAATGAAATAATTGAGAAAATAATAACAGGAAATATGTTAACATATTCACATTCGATGTAAAATTCACACCCGCACCCCAAAGCATGTCTTTTTCCAATTGGAACATTCCGTATTATTTATTCTATCGCCTTATTCTCCTTGATGAGCAGATTTCAGAATTGTATTACTCAATACTCAACTTGGTTTGGGAGTTGAAAATCCTTTGCATAACTTTTGAAAGAAATCTCTTTTATTCTCAAATAATTATAAATGCCTATTAAGGTGGTGAATTAAATAAAAAAGTTGCTCATCTGCTGGTTCTGTCTCACAGTGGCATTTCTTGAACAGTTTTAACTAAGACCATGCACAGTGTTCACCATAAAATTTATGACGAATCAGGTACTTAAACAATCGTTATCACCAACTTTTCATTTCTGTTTTTATGGTTAGAACGTATGCTAAACCAAGTAGTAAACTTGAAATAATACAACAATATCGGTAATTATTGCTATTTATCTTATCGACGAATAATTTCATGAGAAAGGACAATAACTCATTACTCGTTGTATATATAGAAGTGAATAAAGTCAGGCAAATTATTTATGATGCCTGAAGACACTGTGACCCAGTCGCATAGATTGAAATGAATATTAAAATGCTATATGGATGCATAATGCAGTATCTATAATTTTATTCAGACAGGCAATCGGATTTATTGATGTGATGAAAAATGTTATATGTTTACTATAAATATAAACAAATAGCCATTTCTGTAAATTTCCTTTTGCACTTCAGGGAATAAAAGGATACTTTTACTGGCACTTCAAATGCCTCCAAAGCGAATACTGCCATTTTTTTTTTGAACGCCATAGCAATGCTTTCAAGACACATCCACATTCAAGGCTCTGCAGACGAGACTACTCTCTATACTGCGTTCTCTTCTAGAATTCCCATTTCTTCCCAGGAAACTAAGAACTTACAACGAAGGCACGACAACGCTGTCAATGAAGATCTTGCGGAAATTACAGCTTGGGGAACCAGCAATATAGTTGAATTCGTCGCCACAAAAAAATGAAGACCGTATTTTCCATATGCAAAGGCGGAACTCAGTATTCCTGATATAACAATTTTTGGTACCACCATGCTCACCACAACCACTATACCTCGGTAGTACCATCAGCAATACACTCTCTTATGGGAAAATCATGTTCTGTGCGAAAAGCTACCCACTTTACCTCAACAGCTTCTTATATATGATCTACAAAGCACAGATATGACTAGTTTCAGAATACTGTTCTCATGTATGAAGTTCAGCACCCAAACAAACGCAGATGCTCTTAGATTCCATCCAGAGAAGAGCCTTTCGCCTGGTGGGTGCTGCCACAACCACTAACTCTATGAACTCATTAGAACACCGTGGAAAAGTCGGCGACTTTCCACTTTTCTATAGATACTTCGACGGGAAATGTTCCTCAGAAATCTCTGCTATAATGCCATCACTAGCAATACCAGTCAGACGAACTCGACAGGTCATCACATGCTTGTGTCGTTAACCTTGAAATATGTCGAACAACACTCTAACAAAACTTGTTCGTCTATAGACTGGCGAAGCTTTGGAATTCTTGGACAATGGAAGTATTCTCAAGAACTTATAACCTCCTAAAGTTCGAAATTGTCTACATAGTTTCAAATGAAACTAAGTGACTTTTGCCAATAGATATAAGGCGTTTTATTTATGACAGAATAATTGTCACTTATTAATTCCATTAAGTAAATAGGGCCGAACAAAATCATCGCGATAGTCTCCCGTTGCTATAACCAACGTTATCAAAAAGGAGGCTTCCGATTGGTTCAAAATAACTCAGACAGGAGACACATTTTATCTAGTTGATTTTTGTTATTATTTGTTATGCAACACCCTGTTGTCACTGACATCGTTAAAATTTTTCTTTTGTGTAAGTATGGTGAAATGCCAAATGCAGTGTCATTTCAGGGCAAATCATCTGATTTCTCATCTAATCTGCTCTTATATAATATAAGTATGTAAAACCGAAGAATAATAAAGATAAAGAATGAGTGATCTCTTAGTGAGTCCTCAGATCGAATCTTTGGTCATTTCCATAATGATACTATATACTATCATCAGTACAATTAATTATAACAGGTTGGCATTATTCGGATTTGATAAAGGTAGGTATCCAGTTTGTATAATAAAGCCCTCTGGGTATTCTGAATCAGACACAAACTCCAAGATTGCATTATGCTGTGCTGTTATAATACCGCAAATTTGAACATATATCCGATGAAATTATAGTAATAGAGGTAATATAAATCTTGAACCAAATTAAAGGATTCATGATTTATACAAGGTAACACTCCTGGTATGGTACTCGCATATTGAACGGATATCCATATTTTCTCATACCTATCATCAGATTCTATATATGTATATGTTTCATGGAATGTTGGAGTCTTGAGGCAAATCGGGAAGGGAGAAACTGGATGGTTTTTCATGCCATTCATACATATATGAGGAACCTAAGATGACAAGACTTTCTATATTCAGATTTCCATTTCCCCGTGAAGTTTATGAATAATTATTATATCTGTATTTTTTATTATCTCGATTGGCTGAGAATTCATTTGAAAAAAATTCAAAGAGCTATTAAGCGATTTTTCTAGCACGACTGCAACGCTGCCGTATCTATTTATATGTTTGGGTATTAAGAAATAAATCTGGATATGTATAAACTGCAATGGGACTTTATTTTAATATTTCACAGTTGATTTTTCACTTCGTTTTCAGTTCGAGCTTGTTCCGAGATTTGCATCTCACAGCCAAACTTATTATAGGCATGTTCACCCTAGATTCACCCTTCACGTCATCCTTTTCCATCAAAATATTTCTCATTTGCTCTAGTTCGAAAATAGAATTATTGATTTGAATTATTTCAGTTGTTATTATAGATTGCGAAAGCATAATACTTATAATCATTTTAAACAGTCATCCGATGTGAACTTTTCCATTTCGTGAGTCGAGTCAGCTGTTGGAATAAGACTTTTAATCTTTAAACTTTCAATAAAAGTTTTAATCTTCTCCTGAAGATGCTAACATAGTTAGCGAAACACGTGTCGAGGCGTTTAAAAAATCGGTTTGGTTAGTGGTAAAACAGTGTAGTGTATTATCGTGCCAAAGGTTCCAGTCTTCGATATACAAGACAGACTGTTTCGGTTTGCCAAGCCTCATCAATTACACTAGGCCTGCAAACAATCGATTCACGAAGATCTGATACAGAATTTTTCCAAAAATTATGGTTTGATGGAGAATAATCCTCTTGACATCTATTCTTGGAGTTCGATTCAAAATATGATATATGATAATATAGAATAAATGAATTGAAAGATGATATGGTAGGTATAGGTACCCTATTAGGAAAAGGTATACCATTTTTATTATACGCAGCAGACTTTTGAAATCGATTTATCTCTAAAATGGTGAATGGTATCGAAACCAAACAAGAGTATCATTTTTTAGTAAAAAAGATGAACTTCTCATATTTCCTGGTCAAACTGTCGACAATTTCATAAATAAAGAAGTTTGGGGAAAACGTGTCCCTATTCCCTACGCCCCTGACCGAAGTTCCGGCAGATTCTCAACAAGTTGTCAGGCACATGAAATTTGGTTATTTTATCACAGAGGGTTTCGAAAAGATTTACAAAAAAACATCATCTCGGGATCCCCTTTAGATGGCTATAATTCCCTAGGGGACCATTTCTGGACTCAGGTTCATATACATTTTTTTCACTTTTTTCTTTCCTACAATATGTGGTTGGAATCTTTCTATGTAATTCTAGTTTTGAATGTACAAAGGTGTATACCTAAGTAGACTTATTAAACAACTATAACTTGCGAATAAGTCATACATATCTGGGCTATACAGTTCTAATCTCCTATATTTTCCAACTCTGTTAATATTCGAACAAGATGACAAAAATTTCAAAAAATATATGATTCTCACATTCTATTAGGCACCTTTGATTTCAGAAGTCAGAAAGGGACCCAAATTGGGAATAAAAATATTCAAAACAAAATATGATCATCACCTGCCTACCCATAGCAGACCTACTATTATAAGCCTTGAATTCTATCATTCTTGTTACATAATGAATGGTGTGGTACCTATACTCATATCATAGCTCATGGAGCAGCGACATATTTGCTCATTCAAGCCTCAAAGATGTTGCGGGGTTACTTTGCATTCGTGGGAAATAGGCCGCAATGAATAACGATGAGAATGAATAGTGGGGTTAAGGGTTATATTTATGTGTATATTGTCAGAGCGAACAAATGACTAAGTGGAAAATA